CGTGTATGAATGGTATACCTAGTCATTGGCTTGTAAGAGTTTGCTAAACAGACGTGTTGCAGGCTAACTACATGTCAACAAATGTCCAAGTTTTACATTCTCAGGCATTTCTAAACCATTCTTTGGCACAGGTTTAAAACCTGGCCAGATAAATTAATCTTCAGGGTCATGAAGTGCTTCTGATGTGGAATTCCCAATAGGGGTCTTGAGAGGTGTAGATCAAAATGAGTTTTTAAATTAAGGATTTGGTGGTAGCTTTCTAGAAAAGGAGAATCTTTCTCTCACCACCCTCAGGAACAAAAGTGCACAGCCCCGGGCTGTTTGTAGCTTCCTGAAATTATTGGATCAAACTCCCTTTTCTAAAAATCATTGCTGCACTGTAATTTTCAATAAGACTGAAGGGGAAGGTTCTTAAATTCATGTCTGTTGGCAAATCGTATTACTATTTCTAATTTTAAATAAATGCAAATAAAACAAAATCAAATTCAGTTTTGTCTGTCCCCCTTCTAATTTTTTGGCATGTGGTTCTCTCAAACTCACTCAATGACTAGGTATACCAAATGCCCACTCAAATGCCCAAGTTCTAGCCTTGGCACAGAAAACTCTCAGAATCCTTGCCAATTTAGAAATGGTTAGCATTGCAGATCTAACAACCTTGTTGATGTTACTGGACTTCTTCACTGCAATCTCCTTATCCCTTTCTACTAAATTGGCCCCTTTTTATACTTCTCAAGTTTGGGGAAGTCCTTCAGTTTGCTTTGGAGATAGTTAACTGATCATAAAATGCTCTTTTCCATTCTCAGGGTTGGAGATTTTAATAAATACATCAAACTTGGAAATCAAGGAATGATCTGTGCCTGTTGGAAGAAGTCTTTTGGGAAGCAGTATAGATGTTTCCAAGCCAAGAGAAAGGACAGACAGACAGAGAACAAGCGAGACAGAGAGAGAGAGAGCAGTTGTTCAAAATGGAAATACGTTACCATCTATTGTGTCTGGATGAGTTTGTTTCTGATTTCATTTGGGAAGGGTTGGCAGCAGGGTTTCCTTCATCTGTCAAGATCTTCTTTGTTAAAAAGGCACCCTCTGAAGGTGATATGAATAGGCAAGCTGTTACCCCAATATGCCTTGTCACAATTGAAAGTTTGTTTCAAATGATCATTAGCCAAGCATGACAACCACAGTTAATCTCCTATCATAGCTCCTTTTTTTAAACAGAAGGTCCAAAACAGCTGCTAATCAAAGATGGTGATTGCAGCCTTTGTGGAAAAACCTTCAGTTTTTGAAGAAGGCTCATCAGCTAATTGTGTTAATGCTAAAAGGCAATGTGGATGTGTCTCTCTCTCTGAGTGTGAGATATATTGCTGTTTCCTATTTCTTGGTGGTGGGGGTAAGTAGCAAGAGGGCATATTATGGGGAGAACCACACCTAAGACATGGCCCTCACTCTGATCCTGACCACAATTATACTGCTGTAAGCCAGGTCTCAGTGACATCCAACCAACAGGCTGTTGAAAAACCAGATTTATTTGGGCCGAAGTGGCACAATTTCTTCCAAGTTTATTTTGGGCATTACTTTCAACCAAAGGTAATAAATGACAAATGTTTGTATTAATGTAATCTCTTCTCTTCCCGGTTCTTTTTCTGTTAAGGTAGTATCTTAGACATGGGGGTGAGGGCAGATTAGTAGTTTCTGTTTCTCATTCAGAGGACTCGTGTATGAACAATTCCAATTTTATTCAATGATTATGTTGTAGAATAGATTAATATTACAGGTCTTTCTGCTGAAAGATAATTAACAAATGCCTCTTCGTTTAATAATTGAATGTCTATTTAATGGTCTCAAGGGTTACCAGTGGATCTGTTCTTCTGGATTATATCTGCTGATCATCTTCATTTGTGTCCCACCTCATCCCATGCAACTGTTCACTGTTTCTCTCTTTCTTTTCTTCATTCTTCAAGTTCTCTTAGCTTTCTGCCTGCCTGCCTGCCTTATACAAAAATCAACTTTTACCTTCCTTTAGCAAAGCAACGAACAACTGTTTCATCACCCAGGCAAGTTCAGTATCGAAAGCAGGGGGAGTTCTTAGAGGTGGGAACAAAAATGGGTTAGGAAACTTCCCATTAGCGACTCCATTTCTACCAGCACTGGAATCTGAAGCTGACCAGCACTGATTTGAAATGGCTGGCAAGAAAAAGAACCAACCCTTACCTTGTCTCGTGATACCGCTTCTATTTGCTAGAAACAGGAGTGCTTACAAATGAAATAAATTTAAAAAATAAATAAGCCAACAGACATGCAACTGTAAGCTGCACATGTCTAGACACTGTAGTAATGACCTGAGCTCTTGAAAATGGCTTGTGGAGACTGTATGTATAAAATACAGTTAACTCCAGAATGTTTTGGGTGATGTGAATTGATATTGGAGCAACTAAGTGAAGGATGAGTCAGCTTAGAGAACATGGGTCATAGTTAACATATTCTAAGGATTCAGAGTCGTGACAAGTGGAACATTGATAGACAGAAGGTAGGGTCAAGTCATGCATATGGCCAGGGTACGATTTGGGGTTACTTTCCTTGGGTTTGGTGGAGACCTTTGGCTTTGTTTTAACTATATTAAGCCTGTATTGTACCTTGCATTACCATTCTTGGGTGTTTCTCCTCAAATGATGATTCAATGAGGTTTTGTGGCCTGCAAAAGGGGGGTTGGGACCTCATGCCATCCTTCAACTGTCTCTGACGAAAGGGGTTGTGTAAATTGTTTTTAATGTTAAGTGAATAAGATTTGCAGTACAGTAGTTAGCTGGATAAGCAAGCTAGTTCCATATATGGTGAGCCATGCCATTAAAAAAATGTTGAAAGCAGTGACCCATAACCTGAAAACTGTTACTTTAAGTGTCTTTATACTAGACCATTCATTCCAGTTTAACTGGTAAGATTATTTCCACACTAATGCATTGTTGGAAACCTGTGAGTTCTGGATTTGTTTAAAACAGATTTGAAAGCGTGTAGATTAACTGTACCTAAGACACTTTGGGTGGGTGGGTGAACTTTAGCCAACAGCCAAGCTATTTTAACGATTTTGTCTAAATTTTCCTAAATAGGGAATAAGTCCTTCACAAGGAATTTATGGAATGTGTGGCTTGAAAAAAGAATCCAAGATGCCTCATTCTTTGGCCATGGAAACATAGGATGGGAAACTAAGGAGTGGGAGGGAGAGGTAAAATAATGTGGGTGAATATCCTGCCTTTATATTTTCATTCCCCTGTGAAATTTAGCATTCTCTCTCCCATACACATAAACTTTGAAATAAGGAATACTATATGAACAAATCAGCTTTTTTTGGTTTCATTGGGTATTGGATCACAAAATACAGTGACCTCTGGGTTTCACTGGATACTGCGATCACACAGGATCTGTTGATGCTGTTGTCTGTTGTCTAATTACCTTCACAAGAACCGTCTGTGCCTGTGCCACCATTTTGTGGGAATGCCTAAAAGCACACTGTGTGCAACATTTCTGTTTTGTTGTGTGAAATTTATTTTCCTGAGCATCCGTTCAGTTCTCTTAAAGGAAGAATGTCTAGTCTTTCTGTCTCTGGATCAGTTCCAAAACACAATCAACCAGGCTGGTTGAGTATCAGAAGCCAAAAAAGATTTCCCATGATTCAGGTGGGGTTTCAGTGTCATAGGTTACTCCTTGTTTTTTCCCATGATGAATAAAACCATAGCCAATTGGGCAAATGATACATGCAAATAAACACAAATTATTTCACAAATTTGCATAATATATACAAGTTACAGACTTTGAGAGTTTGTAATACAAAAATGGAGTGCACAACCATAGCATAGTCCTTTCTATAATATTATGGATGTTCAGACACTGTGTTGTCTCCAGTCGTCGCTGCCTTATTGTAGAAGATGCTTGTTATAGTAATCTTCTACAACAGGGTTTTTCAACCTTGGTGACTTAAAGATGTATGGACTTCAACTCCCAGAGTTCCCCAGCCAGCCATGCTGGCTCGGAATTCTGGGAGTTGAAGTCCACACATCTTCAAGTTGCCACAGTTGAGAAACAGTGTTCTAGAGTCATCCAGGCATCATTGTGCTGATATAACAGTAGTGGAGACAGGCTTTATATTGCTTCAACAATGGCTGGGGCAACACAGTAGATACTACAAGTTATTAGTGGGAGAAAGAAGCTCTGGTGTTTGCATCTATTTTTTCTCAACCACTATCTTGCATACTTTTCAAACATTTCAAAAGCTTCCCGTTTGCTTCTTAGCTTGGCCATCCACAATTCCACAACTATAAGGCATCAGTGTTTCAGTACTCTGAATTAACCTCATGCTTGTCAAAAACTGAGCTTTAGATTTTCTGCTGTGGAATTGAACTGGGCCTCCTTGGACTTTCTCTTTTACATGAGAGGAATATTTAAATTCCTAAAATTACAATTTAAAGGCTGCTTTTGTGGGAATCTGCCATTTTCAACTTGTTGCGTGTTACCAATAGTTTGGCCAGTTATATTTTACTGGCAAAGTTGGAATATATGAGTGTCTTTTGTAGAGAAGATTCTCTCCTGTATTCCAGTAATTATTGTGATTGCTAATACACACACACACACACACGCATTACTACATCATCCATACACACATACACACACATACACATACATATACACTTACATACATATACACATACACACGTTACTACATCATCATAAATTATTATCATCACATTTATATATCACTTTTATTTGAAGAGTTTAAGGTACCTTATATGGGAATCACTCATCATTTTATTCCCATCAACTCTGTGAAGTAAGTTGGGTTGAGAGAGAGATTGGTCTAGAGTCACCCAGTGAGGTCAAGGGTTGAGTCTTCTTAGTCCCAGTCCAGCACAATCTGTCTAGGGCCATATACCTGAAGTTGGTTGGAGTGATAAAGTCCATCAGCTCCAAATTATTGGTGCAGAACTTTCTCATGGACAGAGAAAAACAGAATTCTATCTCAAGGATGAAGTTGGCTTCTCCCTCTTGGACTACCATAATCAAGTGGTGTTAGAATCATTACTGGGTATAAGCCTGTGATTAAACTACAATAAAGAAAAATAAGAAATTTAACTTTGGAGTACTCTATGCTATTTAAATAGAAGTAAAAGAGTAAAGCCCCCAGGATAGTAACTCAATGAGCAAGGCCCATCCTGGGTTTCTCACGGTGAGAAGAGCAGATATAGTTGCTTGCAGGAGCAAGGTGGGCTTGAGTTGGTGAGTTGAGTCTAATGTCCAGAGTAGGCTAAGCTCTTCCAAGCCGGTGAACTAGGGAGGCTAGGGAAGATCTGGCTTTGAACTGTGCATGGAGCCAATGTCAGAGGTTGGTTGTTTATATAGATTTGAGCATTGCTAATCACAAGATGAGGCCTAAGAAGGGGCAACACTGCAACATGGATCCATCCTCCTGCTTCGTGCTGCGTCAGCTTCTTTTATAACTCTTGGCTCTATTCCACAGAATCATTTTATTTATCTTTTTAAACTTGAAATTCACTATAAGCTGTCTCTGTTCCCTCAGTGTAAAGCTTCTTCCTTCTTTAATGCTGACAAGTGGGAGATTGGGACCAGCTGTAAAAGATGCTTGCAATTTTTTCATTCAAATTCCAGTGAGATGCCCTGATAAACAGACAGGGCATCTTGCAGCTCATTATGAGCTGTTCTGATACAGACTTCATCCTCAGTTGAGGAGCCAGCTGTCACAAAAAGTTTCTTAAAAAGCAAAGTTCACTACCCTCTTAGTATGTAAGCATGCTCACAAACTGATTTTATATAAAAAGCTATTCAGAAGCAGTACAAATATTGACATAAGGTACAGGTCTCATCTCTTGTTCGCCTGTTGTTGAACAACAGTGATTGGCATAATATAATATGTAGGATAGATCATATTTAAATGTCAGCTCCATGTGGGGTGCTCAGAGTCATGAGTATACAATTTGAGCAAACTAGGCCAGCTTCCCATTCTTTTGGTGTGTGTTTGCCTTAGTTATCCAAGATGGATGGGTGGTGGAAGCACTTGAAACTAATTTAACAATCTTTATAATCCCAAATCATGGGGAGTAAATAGTTTTACTTTACTGTGCTGCAGTCATACCCCACCTTGTACAGTGTCCAGTGGGGCACCACATTTTAAGAAAAAGTGAAGGAGTGTTAGGTTAGAACAGGAAAACTGACCAAGGAACTAAATCCTACAAATATGGATTGAAGAAACTGGACTTTAAAGAGATGATTGGAGGGAGATGCAATAGCACTCTTCAAATATCTGAAAAGATGCTACAGAAGAAAGTGAAGACCTGTTCTCTGTCATTCCAGAGGAGTCAAAATAATGGATTTGAGCTACAGGAAGGTGATTGTTAAGAAGAACCTCATCCAGAAAGTTGTGGGTTTCTCTTCACTGAATGTGTTTAAACAGAGGATAGATATCTATCAGGGATGATTTATTTGGGATTCCTGAACTTGGGGTTGGTCAGTACTGAAAAAGGTCCCTCTCAACTCTGGGATTGTATGATTCTCATTTATATTCTGGGCTTGTTTCAGTTTGTATGCCATGGCACAGGCTCTCAGCATATCTGAATTTGCTGTGGGAAAAAAAATCAAGTGATTATGATTGTACTAGGAAGAATGAGAAAGATATATAGAAAGTATGCATTTTGCATTTGAGCCTGGGTTCATGGTAGACCAGCTATGGATATGATTCTGATGCCATAATCATGATGGTGGTGCATCCCCTCAAATAAATGCTGTAACCAATGGTAATTGCTCCTGAACTGAATTTGGATTCTTTTGTTTCAGCTACAAGCCCATTGTGGAATACATAGATGCTCAGTTTGAGGCCTACTTGCAGGAAGAGCTGAAGATCAAACGGTCCCTGTTTAATTATCATGACACCAGGATCCACGCATGCTTATATTTCATTGCCCCAACTGGACACTCACTGAAATCCCTTGATCTGGTCACCATGAAGAAGCTCGACAGCAAGGTACATCTCTGTTCACCTTGATGAGACAGGATCTCAGTTCTTGTTTTACATGTCACACAATTATATAGGGAAGATCCTTGTTTTTCAGAAATGAAGATGCAGCTATAAAGGTGAGGCAGAGTCTGAGACAGGATTTTAAACACTTAATATTATCTTTAAAAAGTCCGTAAGTAGAATGAAAACTTACTCAAAAAAGTAGGCAGATGTCTTAAAAGAGGTATTCATGTTTACTTATAATGTGTTTTCTTGAGCCTCCATTGCATATACTATCATCTGAAAAAAGAAAGATATGTGTTTTGTTTTTCAAAAATACTGTATACATTGATTAAAACATGCAGACAGTCTACCTTGCCTGCCAATAGGAACTGAAGCTCAGCTGAAATTCAGGTGCAGTCTGTTCAGTTTATCAGCTGGTGTTATTAGCATTGCGTTTCAGTCTGCTCCAGTGACTTGCAATATGGCTGAATCTGCAGTTAGCAAATTGCATCCATGGGTCATGGAAAAACTGGTTCAAGCCACCTAGGGTTGAAGGCTCATATAAAAAGTGGCTAGGGATTGTTTAGCAAATAGACAAAGTAGCAAGAGGTTGTGCAGAGTGCTAAAAAACAGCATCAGCAGCGTCAGCCTAAAGTAGCATCATATGTATGCTCCTGGGAATGACCATTCATCCCTTGGCAGTATGGGCACATAGACTTTGCAGGGCTGTTATGGGGCTGGATGTTACAGATGTTCATTCAAAATTTCTAGGTGTGTGTGTGTGTGTGTGTGTGTGTTTCCATGAAATCTACAACCAGCTCCCAGACAATAGGCATTCTTCAACACTAGGACTGGAAGGCCTGAGCAAATTGTTATTGATAATAGTTTTTCTCAGAAGTCTTTAGATG